AAAAAAAAAAAAAAAAAAAAAAAATCTGTGTTCCAGTGTCACTTTGAACAGTAACTTCCTGCTAACATGAAAATGGTCTCATGGCAGTCACTAAACAATGATAGTTATATATACAAGCTCCATCTGTATCGAACACACTCCGTTCCAAAAACATCTCTGCACAGTTGGGAGGGAGGCTTTAAGCAAAATAACATTTTCTTAAAGAAAAAGGAGGAGGAAGAAGAGAAGAATTCCAAGTGACTAACAATAGCACTCTGAGTAAATAAATCTGTCAGCAAAGTACATTATACATTTTCTTCAAGTAAAAGGAGAAGGAAGAGAAATTGAAGTGTGTAACAATGGGGACCAGAGTAAATAAATCCTTTTAGAAGTCACAGTGTAAAACTATTAAGTGCCATGTTCTCATAAATCCTTAAAGGTACAGGAAAAGGTCCAAATATATAGTTAAATAAAATATGTGGTTTAATAAACATATATAGTGTGATCCCAATTTGAATTTCAGATACTACTTTTTTATCATCTACATTAGAAAAGGGTTGAAAAGATATACAATAAAATATTAACATTCACTTTACCAAATAGATTGAATAGTATTTTCCTGTGCTACTGTTAAATGTTTTTTTCTTTGATAGATGTGTTGCTTTTATAATCTGCAAGTTGTTTAAGGAGATTAAATTCACCTTCATTTGCATCAGATATTTAAATAGTTTAAATGAAAATAATTGATTTTTATATTCAGTATAGGACAAAGCATAGTGACACCAGATAAATACATCTCCTTTCAAAAAGTCAGCAGCATTAAATTCAAATAATTAATAAATAAAATCAGGTTGCAATAAACAGCTTCTAATACAATTCATGCGTCCTTTCCCCCAGTGATTGCTCCTAACAAAAGTATTTCCTGCCAATGAGCACTCAAAATGGAAACTGCATTCACTCAGTCAACTTTGGCTGCCACTCCACTCAAGAGCCAATTTTATCACTGCAGTTGCTAAGCATAAAATTTGCAAACATTTATTTTGTTCCTCCAGCTCAGCTCGCATGAATCTCACAAAGAAAGCACGCTGATCTGTTAAGCATTCTACGCCTGACAACCTAGGATTTTAGATTCTCCCCACAGTTGGGGATATCAGTTCTCTAGTTATTTCAACCTAACTTTCAGATCCAAACCAAACCAAACTGAACCTACAAAATAAGACAAAAACCATTTCAAAGAGAATGCAGTTCGGGTGTAGGGTAAAAGAAATCATCTTGCAGCCCAATTCCACTGTGAGTTAACTCTTTCTGGCGCATTTGCAGCAGAGCACCGGCCAGGTCTGTCCGTGCATGGTGCTGCGGTAAACCCCGCCGCGACAGCCTCTCACTGCATTGCACCGGCTCCGGCTGCTCCCCAGGGACAAGCCAGTTGGTCCGAGCAGCATCTGCTCCCTGGGAACATTCCCATTGGCATCTTACCTGTGCTCCACTTGGGCGACAGCGCATCGTCTGCCTCCAGCTGATGCAGTGACCTCACTGGGTGCTCAGTCAGGTAAAACAAGACGCCTTTACCAGTCTGCGCAGCGCCTTCCGTGGAAATATTGCATGAGTCAGCTTTTATCTCTCAACCCCAACACACAAAGGCTTTACAAAAACCTGATTTGCAACTTTCTCCCAGCCTTTTTCCCCCTAGCGTGCCGACCACAGACTTCAGCATCACGGAGAGCTTTAAATGAAACATGACATCATTCAATTGAGAAACAGGACAATAGACACCACTGTGGGTAACTTGCAAACGCACACTTCACTGAGCAACACCCTCCGACTTCCATTCTTTTGTGAACATCAAATACAGCCCACATTCGCCTGAAGCTTCTTGGGCTTTACCTTCCTGGCTTTGGCCACGGTCCTCGTTAAACTCCACGTTAAAATAAGCCAGATCTTGGGAGCTCGGATATTTGCGAGTTCACTTCCTGAAGTATGAGTTTGTTTCAATTTAAATGGACACATCCTTAACATAAATTTCACAGGGAAGTTTGAGGCGGGGGTGAGAGTGAATCACATCCAGTAGAGGGCAGCTTGGAAAACAAGTTTATGCTAACAAGACAGTACAGTTTTAAGTAAGCAAAGTTACACAAGGATACATTTAAATTTGACTTTTCAAAAAACAGTTTTAAAGGCCAATATCTAAAATCAAAACTTATAGGGATTTCTTAAAGAAGGAGTTAAGTTCTAGGATTTTTTTTGTTTGTTATTATTTTGAGGCAGGGTCTGGAGAAGTTGACCAGGCTGGGCTTGAACTTGGGGTCCTTTCGTGTCAGTCTCCCAGAGTGCTGGGATCATGGGTGTATGCCACAATGTCCAGCTATACTCAGGCATCTGTAGTTTATAAGTACTAAATAATAAAGACAGAATGATGTAATTCCCATGCGTCAGTAAACCAGACTCCAAATTATTTGGGCTTTTGTTTTCCCTAAGGCCACCTGTCCTATTAAAAATGCTATATCTATTTCTGTTTATATTTGGAAAACATACTGAGTTCCTGAGATGCAGGTCTCTAGAAGTACAGAATATTGCTGCACCATAGAACTGAAATTCCATGGATTTGGTCCATGTAGAGACACGTAAAGAACTATTTCAAATGATTAAAATCCTTTAAGTAGAAGTTCCATTTAAAGTGTTCACTTGTGGTTATGGAAGACAACGTTAGCAGATCATCTTTAATATGGCCATTTCTATCATGCCTATTAAGTGGTTTTAAACTAACAACATAATAGGATAATTTGTTTGAAGGCCCATTTCCTTTCAAATAAGGCTGAACATAACAGAGTGCAACTGCAGTTAGGTCTTCAGATGGAGGTGTATCAGGTAGTTCACAGGGCCAGTTGCAACGATTTCCTCCAACAGGATCCACCAGCTTGACAGAAATTGGCAGCGAGGACGCAGGGAGGCAGCTGAGAGGAAGGGTCCTCCCTAGGCGGTGCAGACCGTCTCAGCTCCGTTCTCACTCCCCACGGACTCTCTGGCCTCCAAGTCGACATCTGTGTGCCCCCACAGAGCCTGGGCAGTATCCTCCGCTCTGCCTAGGTGAGTCACCTCCTTGCTTGCACACCCCCATCCCGTCTCCAGCCCTGCTCTTGCCTCTCTGTCCATTTGTTAAACAGCTGCTTATTACACTTAGAGTAAATATGGCACGGTCTGCTATTTAAGTATTTTCTGATTGTATCTTCCTGCTCTGGGTTGTCAGCTGCAAGAACCAGGGAACCTTCCTACACTGGGAGACACACAGATCTAAACTCCAGATGATGCTGAATATACAGTTCCTTGGCTTCCTAGCTCAATTCTTTTCTGTGCACAGCCTCAGATATCAAGTTGGCTACTGTTATTATCCAATGAAATGTTATTGTCCTTGAGCTTTTTTTTTTTTTGCCAGTAAACATGATTTTAAAAAGCCACTTCTAATAGATGCTGTGTATCTTAGAAGGAAACTAAAACAGCAGCAAAGTGGCAATCCTGAAAGGCAGCTTTGAAGTGACACACAGGCCACATCTGGTCCTAGGAGGCAGCTATGTCTTAGTTCATCTCTCAGCATGTGTGAATAAGGAACTCTTGGATAACTGGTACATAACTGAAACTGACTTTACTGCATCCACAAATAACTAGGAGTTAAGGTATTTTGAATCTAGGTTTCTAAATTATAAGGTTTTTCAGAGCAAGAGGCTCACACAAACTTTTTGCCTTTGTATTTATTCAAGTACCATGAATATGCAAGATGAATTAGCAAATGAACAGTACAAGGATAACAGACAGACAGACAGACACACACACACACACACACACACACGCACGCACATAAGGGAAGGAAGAGGGAAGAGAGATACACATTTCTTGGGCAACCTTCAAGGTGTCCTCACCGCTTCTCACAGAGAAGCTGGGTTTTGCTCAACAAAATTTCTTTCTAAATGATAGCGAGATTGGCCACAGGCAAATGCACAAGCTTATCTCTTTAGGGGATAGATACTGTACTTTCACTGAAAAGGGACTCTGTTTAAGTCCCTTCCAGCACTCATTATACAACCAGGAAGTAGGGGTTCTTTTCCCAGTGCCTCCACCTGGAAAGGGAGGTGCAAGGTACAGGAGGGCGCCAATCACCTGGACAGCAGGTAGAGGGAAAACACAGGCCCTCAGGCAAGAAGAGTGCAGGCCAGTTTGGGGCCTAACTGGAAGACAGCCAAAAAGTCCTCGCTGTCAAAAATAAAAATCCTCCCTAAAAGTTAGGGTCTGGACTCCTACTACATGTTGAGGGTCTCTTATCCAAAACGTTTTGGATCAGGGTTTCAGATTTTGGACTTATTTTAAAATTTGCAACATCTGTAGAATTTGTAACATACATAAGGTTGCTTATGTTTCACATTTACCTATTACGTTGCCCAAAATTAACTTTACATAATATTTGTAATAATTTTGTACACAAAAGACATTTTAATGGCCGGGAATTTTCCACCCTGGCATCCTGTCAGCAGCACTCAAACTGTTTCAGATTTTGGAGGGCATTTCAGATGTCGGATTTTCAGATTAGGGATAGTCAGTCTACATCAGAAACCAACTTCTTTCTGGTTTAAGGTAAAAGTCATCAGTTAAAACTCCGAAATGCCCTAGAAAGGGTTCTGGAATCATTGCCAGCCTACCATGAATTAGCCTGCCCATCCTTGCAAGGAATTATGCAGGCATTTTAGGAGGGAGACCACGATGGGTTTGCCTCGTAGGGCTGGGAAGAAGGAAAAGGAGGGAGCACAGGCAACACACAGTTGTAAGGACTTAGCAAGGCCTGGTTTGGTGGAGATTGTTTGCTGATTGTGCAGCCAGGCAACAACTCCAAGAAGCTTATCAATGAAGCTGGGAGATTGGCTTGGAGAGAGGAGGAAGGGCAAAGGCATGCATACAGTTTGGGGCTCAAGAAAAGATTTGCTTCATATAATCAATATTGGCTAAGGCAGCCCTAGAAAATTACAGTTTCAGACATAAAGGTGCACAAAGGTGCTAGAAATCACAAGGGGATATTTCAAAACATATATAATGTTTTACACATGTAACATAAACTTTTTTTTTTTTTTTGGCATTGCTGGGGATTGAACCCAGGGCCTTTGCACTGAGCTGTATCTCCAGTTCTTTTTTACTTTTTATTTTGAGACAGGGTCTCGCTAAATTGCCCAGGCTGAGCTTGAACTTGTGATCTTACTGCTTCTGCCTCCCAGAATGCTAGGGTTCTAGGGGTGTGCCACTTGCCTGGCTGGAACATAATTTAAAGGCTGGGGAAGTGTGTGCCTGAGAACTCTCTTTTTCTTGTGAGTTAAGATATTGCCATTGTGACAAATGATAGAACCAAAACAAATGATAGAATCACCTATTTTCTGATGCACAGTATGTTAAAATATTTTTAAAAATATTTTTAGTCTATCAGAACTTTTTTATTTGAAAAAAATGTTATGGTATTATGTTTTCTAACAATATACAACAAAATAAATGTGAAAAACGTTGAAGTCAACTGTACATCCCAAAGTGCCACACATCCCCATTAAAGACCCTTTGAAGGACACACTGACCTTCCTCCCGAAAGTGAGTGGTAATGTACTAAGACCCTTCCGCACTGCAGTTATTTATGAAAAATCCATACACAGTCTGCCTACTCTAAACCTAGAAAACACCACCAACTACAAATTCTGCCTTGCTATTGTTATACGAACAAATCTATATATACACTTGGTCAAGCAAATAAGAAAGTCTAATCTGGGGTTTTTCTTTCTAAAGAGTTATCTTTCAAGGTGAAATAATTTTAGTGGCAAGTGAGTTTGTTTTCACAAACTGAAAAAGTATTTACTTTCAGCAAAGGACAGAGGTCTAAGGCAGACATTAAGCACCAAGTATAGGAGAGATTAAATGAAAGTTGTTTGTTGTTGTTGTTGTTTTTGTATTGGTCCTGGATTACTGAATCTAACAACAGAAACCAAACTGCAAATACTAGTTACCAATACTTAAATCCTCCAACCGAAAATCTAGTTTCTCACCCCCACGGCAGTAAATGTCAGTACTGAGGCTCGGCTATAAGAGTTTTAATAAACACACGAAGTCTATTGTTTTTCACAGCCCACCCTTCTCTTGCAGTCAAGTTATGATTTAGCTTCTGCTTCCTGTATCTACCAGTCAGCCGAGGAGTGGGCAGAGACCGTCTTGAAAGTTGGGTGTTCTGGGGCTCTGACATCTTGCTGTTTTAGGGTCCCTGCATGGCCTCATTTCTCTGCTTCTGGGAAAATCATGAGCTCTATTTTTTACGCTGCTCTTTCATTAGGATATTTGGGCTTTATTTTCCAGAGACAATGAAATCAAGTCTTAGTTATTTCTGAACTGCACAATTTTTAGATAACAAGCAAACAAATATGTTACAATAAGCCTCTTGCTTTCCATAATCTACGGGTCCCGTCTTTAAGGACATCATTGGAGGACTCGTTGTGCTAAGCACAATGAACGAATTATCCCTGGAAGAATGCAGTCTGCTTCCAGACACATATTTCCCCAGCAGATAAACACACATCTAATCCATTCATAACTAAAGGCATTCAACACAATCTATACTTCAGAGAACACTAAAAAAATGTAATACTTGAACTTGCAGAAGGAGCTGGGGGCTCTGTCGAAATTCTGCAGCAGTATCTTCCAAAGTATAAATTAAAATAAGAATCTCTTACAGTTCCAGAGTAACAACCATGGTCACATCCTGACAGGGGAGATGACCCCCATCTGCTCACTTTCCCCCACCTCTTTTGTGACACAGCTCCTTGTGTGCAATGGGGTGAAGGGGAGGACTCAGATCCACACTGCGGCTGCCCCCACCCTCTGCTGACCCAGTGGTTGTGGC